GGGGGAGGGGAGGGGTTGGGGCCAAAAAAGAAGAATTCGATGAGGTAGGGTTTTGTAGGGAAATTTATTGACAGATGAGGGAATTCCACTTTAATTCATGACAAAAGTGTATTTCTTAGGGATTGTAAAGCTAAATGATGGTTCCCTGTATATTATTGAATTCAGGATTCTAGCAATTGAATTCCATACCTAAAAACAAATTAATTATGTCATGCATATGCTACATATATGTAATAATTTCTTTCCCAAACTCAGGATGTTCAGCAATTGAATAATTGAAAATTAAAGCTAAGGGCAAAGAATGATTACAGCATTTTCATCGCAGCATCAATCGATAAAATTAATGACATATTTTTGTTTGCTTATTTATTGTGGTTGTAAAATATTATTTATGCAAACTATGTAAAATATTGTAAAATATAATTAATTGGACACAGAGTTCATGTCATTTGGAGTACAATTTATTCGTTATACAACATATTTATTCATGAATAAAAGTTCAAGGAAGTTATACCCAACTTTTGTTGCTATTTTGCTGAACTTTGATAATTCATAATAACCTTTCTCCACCTATGCTGCAATTGTTCATCTATTATTCATTAAAAAATATTCCATACAGCACATTATTTGTCTTCACCATTATTCTTTGATAAATTTATTCATTCGTTTAGTTTCAGATTCAGCAAAAGGCAACTCAATGCTAAAGGTTGGTACAGGCACTTCTATTCATTATTGAATAATTTCTAATAAATAATGAATTACTGTGTTACTAGTGATATTGATATATCTTATAATATATTCCTGCTTAGTGTTTTGAATGAAATTGTAAAAAAAATTATTCTCAAATGATCTCTTCTTTACAGAGTCAAGATGCTCATCAGAATGAGAGAAAAAAGCCTTTAAACAAACAACTTACAATAAAGAAAACTAAAAAGCTACAAAATAAAGACACAAAGGTGAAAAATAAACCAGAGAATAAAGTCTCTGAGCAGGAAGAAAAAGGCAAAGATATTGTAGAAAAGACAACAGAAGGAGTTCACCAAGATGTTGATCAAACTTTGGGACTTAAAGTCGAGCAGGAACAATCTCAAAATGATTCTAGTTTACTGGAAGAAACGAATGGAGAAAATGTGGTTGAAAGATCAAGTGAACCTAGTATTGAAGCTGAAGAAACATCAAAGTGCAATTTTAGATCAAAACGCTTACAGCAACGACAAGAAGAAGAAAAAAAGCAACGAGAGACGCTGAAAGCTCAAAAGAGTGAGAATGACAACGATGAAGAAGGTAGCGTACCAGATGAAGAACTGGAGGAAGAAACTAGTGAAGAAAGTGAAACAAGCAGCAACGATAGCAAAGAGGATGAAGACACTAGTGAAGATGATTGGAAGCCAAACTCACGGGCAACTAATATTGAAAAAACCAAGAAAAGCATATTAAGAAAGGAAAGAAATGAAAAGTTAGAAGATGTTGATGAATCGTATTCCAGCGATGACGAAGAAAGTAATAAACCACTTGCCTTGATTCAAAAAGAACTCAAAGAAAGTCCAAAAAAGAAAGTTGTTACAAAGGTTATTAGAGTGGTTAAGAAGATCAAATTAAAAGACGGAACGATAAAGAAAAAACTTATCAAGGTTATTAAAAGAGTTAGGAAAGTCGATGAAGATGCTTGCCCGAAAATTCCTGGAATGCGGCGGACAAGATGCAAGAAGTGCTCGGGATGTAAAGTTAAAAACGACTGTGGGAATTGTGTCTTCTGCAAGTAAGTTTTTTTTTCAAATATAAAAATAACTGAGTTCGAACATGTGTTCTGATTGGTCAAAATGGCATTTTACGTGAAAGTATCTATGATGGTTTATGATTTATATAGCGCCCTTTCTATATGAATATAATCAAAGGTGCTTTACATTGAGTTGTGAATGACAGATTGCTTTCATGCAATTTACAAGCATGAGAGATGGTTGTTATGAGGTGTAGGCACTGAGGGTGGTCACTGCCAGGGTTTCTTTTAATGCCCTCAGTGATTCTTTTACATCCCTCCGATCTAAAATTCTTGTCTTTACATGTGTTTCATTCATTTCTTTTTTGTAGAAACCAACCAATTAGAGCACATGTTATATTGTGCCTATAATATATTTTCCTTCTGACACGTCTTTATTTCTTCTAGGGATAAACCTAAGTTTGGTGGAGCAGGCTCAATGAAGCAGGCCTGCAGGTGTGTATACATTATTACTATAATCTGCCATTCAACCTGGTTTCTGGAATATAACAAATTAATTTTTTTGGTGCAGCAATACAAGCAACAAAATCATGCATGCAAGTTGCAGAACGATACTCATACACAACTCGTACTCATGTATACAACATACTCATTTACTTGTATACAACAGTAATGAATTGTGCGAGTTGTGGCTGCTTGTTCCAAAAAGGAAAGTGCTTTTACTTTGTGCAACAAGTTGTGCAACTTGCAACATTGATTTTTGTTTGGTGACAAGATGCATACATGAGTGGTAATATGATCAACGTCGAGATTCAACTTGCAACACAGCATTGTCCTATGAGAAGTTGCATAGCGGCATATTTTACTTGTAGTATGACACCTAAAGGTAGAGTAAAAACATTAATGCCATATTTCCTTATTCCATAGTAAGCGTAGATGTGTTAACCCACAGCCACCAAAAGCTGTTGAGTCACTTACCAAGAAAGGTAAGGAAAACATTGTGTACAAAGAACAATGGGGAGGGTCATGGTACAATAAAAGGTTGGTGAAGGTTTTGTTCCATGTTGCATACCAAACCAGCAATACAATCTGGAAACTGTGATCTGGAATTTACCAAAATTTTGTAAAACCTTCACCAACCTTTTTTGAAATAAATGTATAATGATTCTTGGCATCCTTCTTTTTTTCTGAAAAAATGAATGTTGCCTTGACACAACCATATGTAAAAGTGCTAAAATAAGTAGCCAGTCCACATACCTTTTATGCCAGTCCCCTTTACTGGTCACATTGACTGGCCAGTACAGACTTGCCACATGTTGATCAGGGCCTGGTTGTACGAAGGGTTGATAGCGCTATCTGATGGAATAATCCTTATCCAGAGGATTAGTCTATGCTGTTATCTAATAAATTTATCCACTAAATGAATTTTATCCATAAGATAGGGCTTTTCACCGTTCATATAACCGGGTTGTTGGTTATTGACAGTCCTCTTATCCAGCCATTGAGCACACATTATTGTTAGCCCTGAATTTAAGGATTTTTTTAACCTACTTGTTTTTTAGATGTCGAACCTAAAAAGCTAGTTTCAAGTACAAAAGAAAAATCACCCAAAAAAGTGAAAAAACCAATAGAAAAATCAATTCAGAAGAGGGAAGCTAAAGCACCTGCAACAAAGCCAAAACCTACAGCCCCCAAGAAGAAGAACAAAGAGATTAAACTTAAAGCCAAACACACGAAAAAGTACAAGAATAACAACAAGGAAGAAGGGTGTGAAACAACAACATCTGTTATTGAAAAACCACAGTTTATTACCAAAAAGAGAATGCCACCTACGGATACTAATACACTGATCAAGTTGCCATGGAGTGTAAGTTGATACACAGTTTTATAAATGATAATGTTTGATTAAGGATTTATCTAGTACACTTTTTTTATTTATGACGTCCTTTTTTCATGAGGGTAGCACTTAATAGCCAGTGGATAACAAACCTGTGGCCCTCATTCCATAATCAAATTGGAATTTAGGAGTTGATTTTTGCGGAGGGAGGAAAACCGGAGAACCCGGAAAACCCTTGAAGCACAGGAGAACCAACAAACAACTCTACTCATATACAACACCAAACCTGGCAGCAGTGGAACTCGGGTCGCATTGACGCTACACCTCCTGTGCTTCTGGAATGTTAAACATCGTGTTCTGATCAATCACATGCAACATTTAATAAGAAATGAAAATTTCATTACCTTTTAGAATACAGTACTGTTTATCTGAAGCTATGTGCTGTTTTCTATTTACCAGGATAATGCACCAGAGGAAACAATTTGGAAGGAGGGTTTTGGTGTTTGCTTCACGTCTGGTATTCCAGAATCTGTACAAGAAGGATGCTTCTTGTGTGGTAGCACTGGACAAGACAAGATGTTCTATTGCAAAGTATGTGCTGAGCCGTTCCATGGTTATTGTCTGGAGGAGGAACCAGTGGATGAGAGCACATGGTGTTGTGATAACTGCAGTACATGTGTTGTCTGTGGTCTTCAAGATAAGGTATGCATAGGTCATGTAAACTACTATCACTATGATATACCCCAGTGGTGAATCCAGAATGATTTTAAGGGGGTGGCTGTTACCTAGAAAGGCATCACATAGCTTTGTTTTTAGGTAAAATCTTATCCTTTATTCTTATTATTTTTCAGCTCCAAAGGGGGTAGCTATTCACCCACATGAATCTGGCCTCGATCCCAACTCCCACTTTCTGTCCTATCCCCCCACACTCGGCTATAATCTTTGTTATATAATCTATGTTTATTGATATCATGACTTTGATTGACAGCTCCTCATGTGTGATATTTGCCAGCGAGGTTACCATGTTGAATGTCTAGGACCTAACTATCCCACTGAACCTGAAGGGGAGGATGATATTTGGGTAAGTAGGTATATTATATTGGAAGCGAGTAGCTCTCAGTGCAATGGTTCACAGAATGTTTCTTCATTTGCGCTCGCAACCATGTCAATCTAGAGATAGGCGCTATACAAATAGTTATTATTATTAGTATTATTATTGTATTGTCATTATCATCATCATCATCACCATCATCGTCGTGATCACCATTATGATCACCATCATGATCATTATATAGATTTTATATTATAAAATCATATAATAATAATATAATAATTATATTAAATAGATCAAGAAAGTTATCATCATGATCATTGTTGTCATGGTCATCAAGATCATAAATCATGTGATAAAAACAACAAAGATGATGACAGATTTCCGGCGATCCACATAATCCAYGTCATCATCGTCATCATCCATGTCATCACCATCATCATCATCTGGTTTCCTAAGCACACAACTCTCACCTCAACATCACACACCATCAGATCAGAGGCACAACACCTTTATTAACACAATATCCTTCTTTCCTGTAGATTTGTGGCCGCTGCGTCAAGTGCAAGATATGTGGCACTAGAAGTGCAGGAAGTGTGAGTGTTATTGTTCTTACTATTCTAAACAACATGATATAAAAATATAGAGATTATTACATGTTAAAAGCCTGATGTCATTTATATTCACGAGTTTCCATATCATATCATAAACAAGTGAATCATTGAGAGAGTGAGCGATATATGGAAAACGAGTGAATAAAAATGATATCAGGCTCTTAACATGTAATAAGTTGTTTATTATACATTTAGGGTTGATAATAACAATAACAAAACTCACAGTTTCGAGTTTCAGTGAAGTGTTATCCTATCACTCCACTGATATGGTTTCTATTCACAGCTTTATCACATGGATACTGACCCTAAATGTGCAATAAATAACTGAAACATAATTGTTTTTAGGAGAGTTGCCAGATGATTACATTTATATATATTTTTTAATTCATTAGGAACCAGAAGCTACGTGGATGCATGAGTTTACTCACTGTTACAGCTGTGGCACAAACTGGGACCAAGGAAACTACTGCCCCATCTGTGAAAAATGCTACTCTGATAATGATTTTGACTCCAAAATGATGCAGTGTGCGACGTGTGATCACTGGGTGCATGCTAGTTGCCATGACATCAATGAGGACCAGTACGAGTGTCTTTCAGACCTGCCCGACTGCATTCCCTTTGTTTGTAAACTTTGCAGTGATGAGGAAAACCCAAAATGGTTTCAGGAATTAAATGAAGAAATGTTTGCTGGCTTTAGTAGGGTGGGTAAAATTGAATCCTAGAGTTGCATGTTACATTAGGTTATTGCTGTTCTCAATATTCTGCAAGCTCTGGCATTTCAATAGCTTGTTGTAAAATTGGCTTTTCACTGCCGCCAGTCAATAACATAAAAGGTACCGACTGATTATTTTTGATTGACAGCAGTAAAAAAATCAAACTTCAGCATGCAGTTAGGAAGTACCAATTTTGCAGAATATCAAAAACAGCAGTAACTAAATCAAGGGTGGTGTATCGGTAGTGCACTTGCATCTCACCTTTGGGGTATCAGGATGGATTCCTGAACTCAGCATCCTATGTATACTAAGTATAGTTTAATGGGTCCCTTCCTTGATGCATAAGTCTTTCTCCAGGTTCTCCAGTTTTCCTCCCACAAAACCTAACGTGCTGATATCTAATTCCATCTGTGAAGGCATAGATAAATTTTCTACTTCACGTCTATGCAGTTAAAACCTAAATTCCTCTTATAACCTACATATGTTATATCTTGAATTATAGGGCATATTTACAGAGATGAGGTTCTTTCACCTGACCTTCAAAACATTAAATTCTTTCATTTCAGGTCTTAGAAGGAATAGTGGGTAGTAAAGAGTACAAGGCGTTGACCACATATTTTGAAGAGGCAAGTTTGTTTATCCATATTTAAGTTATATTCCAAGAGATTTTGAGAGGCATGGGGTCTCTTCTGTCTATTCAATGCTGGACTTGCTATAGTTCTATTCTCAATTGAACCACATATATGAGTTGAGTTTGTTTGATGTGTTGTTCTCTCCCTTGCTATGAAGACCATTCTCTCTAAAAATTGTCATGTGAGTTGAGTTTGTTTGATGGGTTGCTTATTTGAAATCATTCATTTCTTGATTTTCTAGATCCAGGTTGACAATGGCCATCCAAAAGACTTTCATGCTATCAAGGAAAAGGCAAAAGAAAATAAATATAAGTACATTGTAAGTTTTTTTTTAAATATAATGCGGCCCATATAACAGAGTGAGGGGTCCATTTTTAGTGGTATTCAAAAATAAACAATACTTTTTTTTTCATTTCAGGGGGAATTTTGTGATGATATTCAAGTGATTTTCAACAGAGCATTGAAGATCAAGGAGCTTCAAGAAAATCCTGTGTTATCTAAGAATGTTGGCCTAATTTTTTCCATATTTGCAAGGGTAAGATCTTATAGGATCTCTAGTTTAATGGAATTATCATCATGAATATCATCATGAAGACCACCAATGCCTCCACCATCGTCATGAATCCAAGCACTCCATTATCAGTTTCACTATAACCATCATTATCATGAAGATTATTAATGCCACTACCATCATCATCATCATTAATCTCATAATCATCACCATAAATGTTATCATCACCATCATTATCACCATCATCATTATCACCATCATCATTACCATCATCATCACCATCAACATCATCACCATCATCATTATCATCACCATCAACATAATCACCATCATCACCAATACCATCATCATCACCATCATCATCACCACCAACATCATCTTTATAATCATTACTATCATCACTGATGACTTTACTATCATCTGATAACTATTGCTATATTTATCTTTGTAACAGGAAACGGCAGCCATGTTCCCATGGCATAAAATCAAAACTCTTCAAGAAACGCCCAAGGAAGAAGAGAAAGAAGTATTCCCTGTTGTACCTATACCAAAGTAAGATTTCAGTTTTGTTGTTATTTTGACCTTATTCTAAAATCCTTTTTGTTTGTTTGTTGATTTTTGGTGCATCAACATGATGGTAATGATGGTGGTGATATTGGTGGTGTTTTTAGTGATGATGTTGGTGGTGTTGATGATGGTAATAATGGTGATGATGATGGTAATAATGGTGATGATGATGATGGTTATGACGTTGGTCAGGATGATTGTGATGATGTTGGTCATCATGATGTTGGTGGCGATGATCATGATCATGATTATGATGATGTTGGTGGCGATAATGGTGGTCATGATGATG